ATCGGAGCCAGCAATGCCAATTCACTTGCATGGGCTCTGTTGAAATACACTACAACACACAAAAATTACAATGAAAACTCAGAACGGGTTTACAGAAGCTTCCCTGGTACTGGAATGACAGCCTCCTGTCTTCCTATCCTCCATGTTGCTATTATGTGTCACACCCTGCCTGAGCTCCCTGGGCACTTTTGCCTACTTGAGAGCCAGTTTGGTGTAGTGGTTAAGTGTGCGGACTCTAATCTGGGAGAACCGGGTTTGATTCCCCACTCCTCGAACCGTTGAAAAAGAGCAGTTTGTGTCAGAGTTCTCTCAGCCCCACCTACCTCACAGGGTGTCTGTTGTGGGGAGGGGAAGGGGAAGGAGTTTGTAAGCCGCTCTGAGACTCCAAGTGAAGGACGGGGTATAAATCCAATCTCTTCTTCTTCTTCTGTTCAACTTTGTTGACCGCTGATACAGAGCTCCCTCTGAGGTCTGGCCTTGGTCTTCTACATGATAATGTTTCGCAGCAAAGACTGGTGTTCTAAGGTCGCTGTAGTTTTATCCCACTAAAATGGGCACTTGGACACATATGTGTATGCATTGAAACTGTAAGCCATACATGACCGATCAGCTTTACATGGATGAAGTGCTTCTGAATCTGAGAAATGAAAATCTTGAAGAGCATAGGATAACTGCATCATCACCTGTGTTCTCTTGGACCTAAACACCAGTTTGATTTCCACTTTGATCACCACAGATGGCAGAATACTTGCCAAAATGGGCAAATAGCCTGATGTGCTATAAAGAGATTTAGATATTAAAATCTTAATAAATGAGAATATACATCACCTACAGAATGTGGAAAGATTTTTTTAGTAGAAACTATGGGGTGGACACTGTGGGTTTGTAACTGAAGTTGCACAGCACTGATTCTGGTCCCAGGGACCATCATTCCAGCCATTAAAAACTTAGGCTACTCCCAGGGACTGTCATTCTGTTTTGGGGGCTGTCATTCTAGAACCAGGACAGTTTTGTCTAAATCCATTCCGCATTTTCATTGTAACTTTTGTGTGCTGTAATATAGTTCACTGAAGCCCATGCAAGTTCATTGGCAATCCTGCCTCTTATTATATCCAATGGGCCTTCAATCATCTCCTATTGTTCCCAACACTATTAAAAAGAGGCTTGTAAAATCTGAAGGGTCATATATAAGTGTGCAGCCCAAACTCTTTTCTCCCCCCCCCCCCCCCCCCCCCATTCGCACTCTGCCAGAGCTTGACCAGCATTTCCCCAGTGTTCTGAGGAGGAACAAACTGAAGAGCAGTGGCTCCTTCAACACCTGTAAAGGTAAAGGTTCCCTTGCTCGAAAGCCAGTCGAATCCGAATCTAGGGTTGTGGTGCTCATCTCCGTTTCAAAGCCGAAGAGCCAGCGCTGTCCGAAGACATTTCCGTGGTCATGTGGCCGCATGACTAAACATCAAGGTGCACAGAAGGCTGTTACCTTCCCACTGAAGAGGTTCCTATTTATCTACTTGCAATTTCTTGCTTTCGAACTGCTGTCAACGCCTGTACTCTACTGGAATTACCGTCTCCCATAGTCCAGCCAGCCCCCTTTCCTCGTCTCCGGCCAGGCCAAGCCAAGCCAGGGCCCCCCCGGCCCTGTTTCTCTCCACCCACTCTCCAAGGTCCATCTGCTCCGTCGGCCCTGTCCCGAGCGCGCGCTCTCCCATCCACCCCCGCCTCACGCGAGCACCTCCCTGAGACCCCTCCCTCCTTTCCGAATCTTCCCCGGCCGTCGCCTAGGAAACCAGCCGATACCGTGTAAATAGGCACTCTGCAAAAGCAATGCAGCTGGGTAACAAAGGAGTCGAGCCTCTCAAATGAGACTCGGCAAAAAGAAAGGGGGAGAGAGAAAAAATCCCCAGACGAGCTCCATTTGCCCTCTCTTTCTCCCTTTGATGGAGATGCTGACGAGAAGCTCCCAGCCTTCTCCTAGACAGGATTCACAGCACGTTAAACCAACAGCCACAAGAATTATACAGATGGAAGGCAATTCAGTTATGTTGCTAGTGGAGGAAATCAACAGGCTTCAAAGTGCATTTCCAAGCGCCTGGATGTGAGTGGATTTGTACAGATTACGTTTCGGTTGGGGAATGCCACATGTGCACAAAAAGGGTCGTTTCCCGTCAACTTGTGCTGCGGACTGCCGGCCCGGTTTCCCTGAAGGGTGATATGGTCGTTGGCACGATGCACATCTACCCTTCCCCTCCCCCCGCCCCGAATCACAGCAACTCGAGCAGAATATAGTTCAGGAGACTGAATAATGCATCGAACTGGAGTCCCCGCTGCCGCCCCCTCCCCAGTTTCCAAAAGGGAGAAGTAAGGATTAAAACAAAGAAATCGCCGTTGGCACCGATGCTTTTCCACCACGCGATCCATTTCCCCCCGTAGTCCAAGCTGGGGGAAGGAATTGTATTTGGAGAAATCGAGCGGGGGGTGAGGAAGGAAGGGGAAAGCTTGATGTAAAAACCAAATGCCTCGTGGTGTGTTTTGCCCACAAGAAATGAAATATCCCTTGACTGAGTGCCATCTTGCTAAAAATACGAGAGTGCTGGCAATGGGGGAGAGGGACTGAGGGTCTTGGAATAACGATGGATGTGGACTCCTCTCACAACCGGAGTCTTTAGGGGAAAGAAAGATGTGCTGCTGAAGCTTCAATGCCCTTTTCCTAACATTACTGCTTTTAAGCCCAGTAACAACACATTAGGTGTTCTGGTGTCATTTGGGGGGAACTAGCTCTCGATCTCCATTTTTGCTTTAAAGCAGCACTTATCTCTTGCAACACTTTCTGTCACACCAGTGTAGGCACGAAGGGAAGAAGGATCAGCTACATAGAATTGCAAATCTGCACAGCTAGGCGTGTGTTAACACACACTTATGTCAATGGGGTACGGAAGGAGAAGTCCCCATAGGATCGAGAGATGCACGTTGGCCGAGATGGGAAGCGCCCCCCCCCCAATTCAGAACATTGTTATTTTCACACAAACCATCATGGCTCCGACATGCCCAACAGTCGCCTAAACGGGAACGAATTAGACTCGAGTTCCATTTGGCTAACAGTATTTTCAAAGCACGCGAAATGTTTTTTTTTTTTTAAATCACATGAAAAAGATATTAGCTTCAGCCATCAATTTCATCTTCAAGGGGAAAAAAAGCTTTGCAGTCTCAGCAAACATATTTTCAAAATACAAATCAAAGCTAATCAGGCTGCGGAATTTAATTAGACCCATAGGCTGCTCGCAAAATATTTTATTTCAAGCAAATGGGGGGGGGGGGGGAGAGGAGGGGGGAACGTTCTTTCCATGGCAGTCGTAACAGCAGCAGCTGCTTTAAGCATTTTTCACATCTGGCCTACAGACCTAATAATTTCAACTCATGATCTTGTTTGGCGAAATTTGATCTATGCGGTTTAAATACCTTTCAAATTGGGGCGACTGAACAATTGCAACCAATTAAAGGCAAAACGCAAGCCTCGCTATCTGTTGATTTTTCTGTAACAACAGAGGGTGGAGAGGAGGGGGAAGGAAGGGGGTGGCAGAGGGGGCGAGAGGATGAAATCACAAACACACACAAGTCAAACCATTGTCTCTAATTTAACACTGAGGAGGGGGGGTTGGAGAGACAGACACCAAACAGAGACTGCCATCAAGAGCCACCACCC